CATGTGTGTCTGTACACACAGGTCTGTGTCTGCCCTGCGGTCCCTGTTGGGTGGCCACGAGCAGGACACCATGGTGGGAGAGGTGTGGGTGCGTTTGTACCCACAGCCCGGGTGTGTGGGGCAGGATGGGGACCTGTGTGCGGGGCAGGAAAAGCAGGAGCCCATAGGGGGGAGCGCAGGGGGAAGGAGCCGTCCGCAGCCGCGCTGGGGTTTCGCTTCCCTGTTCCTATGCTCAGTGCAGCCCTGCAGCCCTGACCCTGCCGCCACCACCAGCGGCAGCGGAACCGCAGTGGGTTCCTTTAGGAGCTCCCTTTCTCGCCTCGGGCACTGCGCACCTCCAGGCTTTGTCCCTGTTTGACCCGGCTCAGCCCCGTTACCCACTGGGGGAGCGAGGCTCTCACCCTGCCTCTGGCACGGCGCAAAGCATCGGGCTGAAGCAGCGCTGCCGGCTGCTGCGGGGAGCTCCGGTCTGGCCCCGTTTGCGGAGCAGTTTTGTTACCTCTGAGTTTTCCCCGGCAGCGGCGGGGGCCTGCGGGGCTCCAGCTCCATCTCCCGGCTCCGCAGCGGCTCCCGCTCCTCATCCCAGGCTCCCCCAGTGCCGGCCATGGCACCGCCGGGAATCTCCTTGCAGCGCTCGCTGCAGCCCCGCTCGCAGGAGGATGCTCTTTCAAAACCTGCATCTCGGAAGGGTAAAGGAAGCCGGAGGCTTGGCCTTTGGTGCAACCTCGTGCAATGGGTTTGTGTCCCCCACAGGCTGCTCACGGAGGCTTCGCCCTTCTCCACGGCTGCTTTCTACATCTTCTCCATGGCTGATTTCCACAGTAACCCCCCCTCCCCAAACTACGCAGTTAATTCCCAGCTCTCCAGGTTGTGAGGGATTGGCAGGGTGGGATTTGTCTGTTTTCTTCGGTGGTTTTGCTGGGGTTTCCTGCAGCCGTTGCACAAGAGGAGCACAGCTGTTAGAAACCACTTTTGTTTCCATCCCAAGGCCTTGCAGGTGCTGAGAGAGCACAAAGTGACCCAAGTCAGGGGCTGAACTCCCCCCACCTGTGTCTGTCCCCTCTAGGATAAAGTCGCTCTTTTAACACTTTAAAACACCCCAGAATATTTTAATACCTCCTCCCTTCTATTCAGCCTTTGAGCGCATCAGCAAACAGCTCATGGAACTGGTTAGCAATGGGCCTGGGGGCATGGGTGAGCCCCTCTGCGGGAAGCCAGCTCCAGGGATTTCTCCTGGGGATGAGCAGGCTTTGGGGGACATGGATTTGCATGAAGAAGGTGGAAACATCCACTGCATTCTCACCATTTGGACTGGACTATGCAGTGCTCGTGGGAGCAGGCACCTCTCCAGGGCTTTGGGGACCTGGTTTGGGGCTCAGTGGGTGCCTGTGAGTCTGAAGCCATCTCCAAAGAGACCAGGATAAGGCTTCCTAGCTTCCTCGCTGTGTTTCCCAGCCAGCCCCAAGCAAGCCAGGAGGTTTGTGTCTGTTGGGTCACGGTGTGTGATGGGAGCTGGTTCTGTTGTGCTGAGGCTGCGTGCTGAAGCTGATAGAAATATGTGCTGGGGCTGAGTCACGTTTGGATCCAGCACCAGCTCGGGGAGGATGTGCAAGGCTTTGGGAGATGAGACCCGGCGCTGGTCCTTCCCACGCTGCTGCCTGGCTTTGTGTTGCTCCCTCAACATGGCCATTCCTGACACAGGGAATGGCTTTAATCTGACGGAGGGGAGACTGAGGAGGAATCTTATGGATGGAGCAAGCTGCTCTAGTGGAAGGTGTCCCTGCCCATGGCAGGGGGTTGGAACTGGATGAGCCTTAAGGCCCCTTCCGACCCAAACCAGTCTGGGGTTCTATGAATATAAATGGAGCATTTAGGATGCAGCAGGATCCTAGGCTTATGGACGGTGTTCAGCAATGGGGTCAGAGTATGTATATCCCTCATCCCAGTAAGTGATTTATGTTAATGGCTGTACTACAGACTGGTTTAAGGAACAGAAAATCATTAGAAGCATCAATATTTTTCCCTAATGAGTAATGTTACCTTCAAGACCATTAGGAATAAACCTGCAGAATTAATGCAGTGAGTGTGACCCCACCAAGCTAGAGAGAGGGGGCATGAGCCTGGAGGAGCCCTGCAGTGGGCAGGCACGAATTGCCTTTTGCAGGAATATTAGCTGCAAATTTCCTGATGCCTCTTAATAGATTAAAGAAGACGATGCCAAGTTTAAAAGCAACCCAAGCCCTTTAAAAGGATGGTGATTTTACACTGCGAAGCCCTGCAGAGCTGGGAAGCAAAAGCTGCTTTGCTTCTCCAAGCATCAGGGCACCCCTGAATCCATCGGTGGGTTCCTTGTCCTGTGCAGGGGGATAAAGCAGCAGCAGGACACTGATGGCAATTGAAGTCTGTGGTCCAGGGCTTGTGGAGCCATTTGCCCCCAACCAGATCCCACACAGTGGGATTTGGAGAACTGATGCAGGGGAGTTTTATTTAGCTGGAATCTTTTTAATTTGCAAGGAAATTGGTTTCTCTCCCCAGTGGGAGATACGAGTTTTAAATGCACCCACTGGAAAATTGATTTTTTTCCTAATTGTCTCCATTTTTCAGTATTTTCTTCCCCATCAACGTTATTCTCAATGCGTGGCTGCTGCAGGGATGCTCACGCCTGGCTCCACGAAGGTCAGGGTGATACCTGTGGCACTGCTGGGCCTGTGTGGGCACAAAGGGCACCGAAACCACCTGAACTGGTTCCTCAGCATCTTCGGTCCTGGCACCTCTCATCCCTCAGTGGTGGGCTCAGCCCTGGCTCCCATGGGTGCCCCTGAGGACACAGTGCACCCAGGCCCTTCAGCACTGGCCTAAACTGTAACCCCAACCCTTCACCTCCTGGCTGCTCTGTGCCAGCGGGTATTATTTCATGCAGGAAATGAGAAAAAAACCCCAATTTCCTCTTTTACTCCCATTGCAGCTCTCTCCATGGTGACTGCAGGAGGTGCAGGGCACCGGCAGCACCCAGTTATTTCACAACCACGCTCTGTCGTGCTGGTGAGGCGGGTGTTCGAGCCTCCCTGATCCATGGGGAGCAGTGGGGTGTGGAAGCGAGGGGGCAGAAGCTGGGAACTGGCCCAGGGCCCCTTTCTCCTGCAGATGGAAGCGTTGCTTTGCTTCCAGCACCCCTCAGCCTCGCAGTCCTCAGCCCAGTTCCATGCTGGAAAAGCTGGGATTGGGATTGGCATGGGGCAGGTCAGGCACGGAGCCTGGGAGGAGGGAAATGAGGGTGCTGGGGAGGTGTAGCCCTGTTTTCCAGTCTCATCGGAGGGGTTTGGCTCTGTGTGTGTGTGTACATGCATGTGTCCACACTCCTGTGTGCATGAAATCCTTTTAACCCCCCAACCCCAATTTCCCTGCAAGCAGGAGGGGAGGTGGTGGCTTTGCACCCTCCAGCTTAAGCGCATCCTTACAAACACCCTATTAATAATTAATAACAGATTAATAGCAGCGGCAGTTTGTTAACATACGCGCATTAATCATTTATTAGTTATAAATAGGGACTGCAGTATCCTCTGAAAGGCGGTTTATTAAGGGGTTTGTGGAGCTGATGGTGGTGATGACCAGCCGATGGGCTGCACATCCCAGCAGAGCTCCAGGGGTTTAACATCTGCCTGAATCCCAGGACTCCCTTGGCTTGCACTGGGCAGGAAAGCACAAAAGCACCAATCCTGCGTGTGGTGCAAGTGACTCCAGCTGCCCCTTCCAGGTTCTGCCCAGCTCCATGCTGGCCCCCAGCCCTGCTTGGGCTTTGTCTGCTCATTTTGGCTTTTCTTACTCGGGAACAAACATAGGGGAAAAAACCAAACAAGCCACAAAAGTCCCCTTTTTTTTGTCTCTTTTCCCCGCAAATACATTTCACATGCTCGGTACATACAAAACGGTGCCAGGTCTGCACTGCCCCAACCTGCCTCTGCTGCTGGACACAAGGGTCCATCCCTGACCCCCTTCCCACCCCTAAACCCCCCCAGCTAAAAAACACCAGACGCGGGCACGCGGGTGAGACCGCGGTGGGACACGGCATGCACGGCTTGGGGAGCGGGGGGCACCGGGCATGCAAAGGGAGAGATGGGCAGCATCCCCCCCACTTTGGGGCTGGATCCTGCGAGTGACCAGCGGGAGCACCTTGGAGAGGAGCACGGGTGCTGAACCCACTGGCTCCATCGCTCCTCTCCCCCTTGGGGCTCCCATTGGGGCGAGAGGGGAGCATCTGAGCAGCCACTTGTGCAGCAAAGCCCTGACCCCTCGGGAGCCCCTGCCTCCAGTGCAGCCCCAGGGATGCCCAGCAGGAGATGGGCAACTGCCTTCTCCAGCTCCCAGAGCCCTGCATCCAGGTAGGTAGACATGCCCACAGGAACGGGGCCAGAGGTGGGATGTGCAGCAGCTCCCATGGGTGCACATGGGAGGAGACGAAAGAGGAAGAGGAGGAAGTGATGGGCTCCTTGACCCGTCTAGGTCCCATCCAGGCTCTTCCTTTCTATCTGTGCCAGCTCTGCTCCTTCTCCCACCCAAAATCCTATCCCTGAGCTGAAGCCAGCGCTGCCCTGGGCAGGGGTGGGATGGGAAGTTGGGAACCATCCCCTTGGCAGCAGTGAGACAAGCCCAGGAACACCGACCCGTGGTCCTCAGCGCTGGGGGGTGCAGGATCTGGGCGGACACAACGGAGGTGCCAGCCGGGTCCTTCTCCTGTTGGTTCCTGAGCTGCTCATTCCCAGCCTTTCTCTGTTCTTTCCTGGGCTGTACGGTCCCCCCTGCACAGGATGAGCCAGCTCCTGCTCTGCTGCAGACTTTGCCATCCAAGGAAAATGGACCCAAAAACGCCTTTTGCACTGTAGGAATCCTGACTCCCCACCCTGCTGCTCCCACAGCGGCTTGGGCGGATGCAGAGACAGGGCCTTGCATCACCCCAGGGCTGCTCCTCCTCATTTAATGACCTTGGCCTCATTTTGCCTTCCTTCTCACTTATTTCTTGCTGTTGCCTCTTCAGAGCCCAGCTTTGGGTGGGTTATTATTGCTTGTGCAGGAGCATCCCTGCGCACCCACGTTTGCAGATGCCGCGTCTTAAATCTGCCAATGGGAAGCTCTCCAGGCACAGATGTGCCTTTGGGGATCCAGCTTGGCCAAGGGGCTGGGGGCCCCCCCAACTTAGCACAACCTCCCCCAGTGCCTCTCCCAGTCCCGCATCGCCACGGAAGACTTTTCTCTTGGAATTTCATTAAAAAAAAAAAAATCATTGGACCAAAAATCCCCCAAACCCCAACAAGAAGAAAAGAGAAGAACCAGAACCAACCGCCAGGAAAGTTTTCCAGAGTCTCTTAAAAAAAAGAAAAAAAAAGATAAAGGGGGAGAAAAAGGGAATCAGTTTGGTTTTTTTTTTCCTAGGTCCAAACGCTGCTCATCTGTTGGCTGGAGAAATGCATAGTTGGTAGCAAAGATGTTGGCTACATTGGGAGCCCCTGGAGCCGGGATGGCCCCTGAGCCATTTGTGCCCCTAGGGCTCACCATGGGGCTGGGGTCATCACTCTCCAACCCCAAGGTCCATGCGGTTCTGACCATGGTTCCGGCCATATCCCAGCACAGCGATGTCCCATCGCCAGCCCTGGGACATCACCAGTGCTCCCACATAGCCCGGCCCCATCCTCCTGCAGCTGTGCCCATAGCCAGGCAGCAGACAATGGTTCTCCACCAGGAGAGGCTCAGATCATCTTCATGTTGAACTTCCTGGCTCCTCCTTGGCCGGTGGTGGTGGTGGGACCGTCCACCTTGCGGAAGGAGTACTCCACTGAGAAGTTGTTCTTGTGCTGCCCTCGGCCCCGGCTCCAGACAAACAGGAGGAGGAAGCAGAAGAGCACCACGCCAAGGAAGGTGATGCAGCCCATGGCCGTGGAGACCAGGATGGTCTTGAGGTCCAACGTAAACTTCAAGAAGACCTGCGTGTCATTGTGAGAGGTGTCGTTGAACTCATGGAGGTACAAAGTCCGGTTGGCATAGTGGGAGCCGTCATTCAGGCGCCCCTTGACCGTCAGTGTGGCGAAGTAGGTGTCGTTGCCACCGGCGTTGCTGGCGATGCAGATGTAGGTGCCGCTGTCCTGCACCTGGGCAAAGCGGATCTCCAGGGTGCCCCCAGGCAGCACGGTCACCCGCCCCGTGCTGCGGGTGGTGATCATGCGGTGCTGGGGGGACACCCAGGCAATGGAGGGGTCTGGCTCCCCATCCGCCCGGCAGAGGAAGGACACGGACTGTCCTTCCCGGGCCGTCACGTGCTGCAGCTTCCGATCCTTTATCTTGGGCTTCTGGCAGGTGAAGTACTCGAAGAGCACGGAGTCCGGGAAGTCCCGCAGGGCATTGCCCTGGATTTCGGGCGGTGAGGAGCACATGGGCTGCTGCCCGTCGAAGTTGAGCGTCTTCCGGCGCTGCAGGATCCAGAGGAGGCGGCAGTCGCAGGCCAGGGGGTTCCTGTCCACCCGCAGCGTCTCCAGCGTGTTGACGGAGTGGAAGGTGCTCTCCTCCAGCGTGGAGAGAAAGTTGCTGGAGAGGTTGAGCAGCCGGATTTGTCTCAGGCCGGAGAAAGCCTGCGGTTCCACAGACATCAGGAGAGCACCCACGATGTGGAGCTCCTGGAGCCGGATGAGGTCTTTAAAGGAGCCCTTCAGCACAGTGCTAATGGGGTTGTAGGACAGGTTCAGGTACCGGAGGTACACCAGGTTCCTCAAGGCAGCGGCGGGCACGGCTGTGATGTTGGTGTAGGTGATGGAGAGAAAGGTGAGGTTCAGGCCCTGAAAGCTGGTGGGGGAGATGTCTTCCAGCAGCGGCCAGTTGTCGATCTCCAGCTGCAGGAGGTTGTAGAGCTTCTTGAAGTTCTGGTCCTCCAGCGCAGAGATGCTGAGGTGCCGGAGCCGCAGCACCTCCAGGTTCTGGAGGTAGGAGAGCGACTCGGCAGAGATGGAGGTCAGGTTGCACTTCTCAATGGTCAACTGCTCCAGGCCGAGCAGCCCGGAGAAGGCCCGCTGGGAGATGTACACCAAATCGTTATCCCCCACCTCCAGGCTCTTCAGGTTTCGCAGGTCCTGGAACATGTAGTCCAGCAGGATGACGAGTTTGTTCTCACTGATGTCCAGGAGGGTGAGGTTGGTCAGTTTGGTGAAGACCCCCGGCGGGATGAGCTTGAGCTGGTTCCCCCGCAGCCGCAGGGTCTGCAGGTTGAAGAGGTTGCTGAAGGCGCCCGGCTCCACATTGGAGATGATGTTCTCGCTAAAATCCAGCTCCTCCAGCAGCGGGTATGGGGAGAGGTCCCCCGGGTTCAGGCAGCGGATGCGGTTCTTGTTGAGCTCCAGGATCTTGGTCTCGGTGGGGATGCCCTCGGGGATGGAGGTGAGCCGCTTGCGGTGGCACACCACCGACTTGATCTGCGGGGCGCACTCGCAGCGGGCAGGGCAGGCGGCCGCCTGCCGGGGGCTCAGCAGCACCACGTGGAGGACCAGGACCGGGAGCCAACATCTCATTGTGTAGAGCATGGTCTTACGGGCTCACGACCATTCTCCCATGCGCCTGGAAGGGAGAGAGATGCGGAGTCATTGGGGGAAGCCAACAAAGTCCTGCCCAGCCCTAGATCACCCGTGTGGGCTGAGATTGGAACACTCTCCTCAAACCATGTCCCGTGGTAATGATGAAGTCCCAGCCCCCAGCAAGAAGCCCTGCAGGACCCTCAGCATCTAAAGTGTGACCCAGTGATTGTGCCCTGTGCAAAGCTGGGCTACATGAGCCTCATTGCCTGCACATGCTGTTAGGAGAGCAGGGAAACTGAGGCAGGGGGAGAGACCTGCAAGAGGAGACATGGAAGCAGACTCGCATCCCAGCCTCTGCTCCCTGCCTGGCTCACGCCTGCTGGGCACCACTGACAGTGCACACACAGACATGGGGACCATGAGTGCCCAGGGTAATGGGGGCACAGACCCCCCCTGGGCAGTGTAGGAGCAAAGAGACGCATCCAGAGGCCCTGCAAACTCATGACACAGGTGGGATGCCACATCCCCTCTGCTCCCTGTCCAGGTCTCATCCAGTGGCACAGATCCTTCCCAGGCCCTGGGCTCAGTGTGGTCCCGCAGGACAAGCAGATGGTCAGCACTGCACAAAGGGACCTCTCCTGTCCCTGTCCTCAGCGTCACCCTCTTGGAGTGGAGATTAAAGCATCCATGGGCACAAGCTTCTCAGATGAGGGATTAGCACTGACCCTGCGTGGAGCCTGCTTGCCCTCCTTCCAGGGATTAGCACTTTGCTGCTGCTTTCCCTTTTTTCTGCTTCCCTTTCCCTGTTTCCTGTGCCCCAGATCTTCCAGGCTGCTTGGAAACACCTCTCAGGGCCTGCAAACTCCTCAGCTGCCTTTCCATAACGAAGCATTGTCATTAACCTAATTAAGTGGCAGAGCTGCTTGGCTGGGGTGCCTTTGCAACAAAGGCAATTTGGGGGTTACAGAGGGTAGAGGCAGCCCCTCCAGCCGCCCCTGCAGAGGTGTTGTTCTCACTGCCCAAAAGCTTCTGTATAAGGTGCTTGTTTTAGGGGGTGATGGAGGGTAAAGGAGGAGGTGCTGCTTGACACCACGGGGCATGGTAGGAACTGCTGGGGCAAGCCCACAGCAGGAAGAGGATAAGGCACCACTTCCACCTGAATCCCCCATCCTTGTCCCCCATGGAGGAGGGAGCATCCTGGAGTGGTGGGGCAAGGCACATTCCCCTTTCTCTTCCAATAAACCAAACCAAGAGGGAGGTGTCACCGTTTCACCCATAGGGAGGGGTTTTACAGCTGGGTGGATGCAGCATCGTCCTTCCTTGCTGTGCGACAGCAGTGTGGGACCAGAGACCCCATTGCTGCCCCTGCCACACCTCCCAGCCCCTTCTTCCCTCCTCACCAGCCACACAACCCTCTCTCCAGCACTGCTCAGGCTTCACCCCTTTACCCACACCCCTGTGTCCAGCAACTGGGGATCCTCAAATGCCACCTGAGGACCAGAGCTCCTTGCTCTGGAGCTGCTCCGCAGCCTCTGCCTTCAAGGAAGCTGCTCACAGCCGTGCCAAGAGCCATTCTGCAATGGGCTCTGCCTGCCTGGTGGCCTTGGGAACCTGAGCTGGCTCAGGGGGAGGATTGCTTGGTTCCCCCTAGTTCAGAAGCCTCCACTCCTGCTCTGACACAGGGCTGGATGGGATGGATGCAGCCGGGCACGACCTGCAAACTCACAAGGAAAAAAGCTCCCCCAGCATCTCATAGCACTTCTTATTTAGTGTCTCTATGCTAAACAAATATGCCCAGGCACCACTGCCAGGATAAGGGTCTCCCATGCTTGGCTGCATCCTGTCCTCTTCACCTCCCTGCCCACGCCGCTGTGCCGAGGCAGCCCGGAGCATTCCAGCTCTGTGCTGTGTTCATTATGAATGAGCCCAGGGTAACCCTACTCCACTGTTGGTTACTACTCCAGCCACCCGATCCCCTAAGCAAAGGTCCGAACCCGCTGGCGTTGTTTTACCCAGCAGACGGGGAGCGGGAGCCTTGGCCCTGGGCTCTCCTCCCCGCTCCGCAGCTGGAGCAGAGCATCGGCCACCCCGGCTGCCCCAGGGGTGCTCTGGTGGAGCTGGGCACAGCCCTGACACCCTCAGCAAAGCACATGGGGGAGCTGCATGAGCCCCTCCCAGCAAACCCAGGCAGACAGGAGCTCTCATGAGCTGATGCCAGCTCCGACCATGGAGGTCCCTGCCAGCTCCAGGACATCCCAAGGAAGCCACCCCAGTGACAATGACCCCATGTCCCCTGCAGTGACAACCAGGGGGATGTGATCCCCAGCCACCCCAGGCAGAGCCAAGCTCAGAGCTGTTTATTAATAGCTCATTACCCCGATAGTGCAGCTTGGTCCCAGGGGAGTGAGGCCAATTAAGCCTTTACTTGAAGGCTCAGATTGAGCCTCTCCTTGCATCTAATTCAGTTTTAAAAATAACACGCTTGCTGCATGCAGGGCTGGGGAACGGAGCCGGGAAAACCCAAGGGGCTGTGGCACAGCAGGGGGGAAGCCTGGACCACCTCTGACCCCTTCTGAGCCCTTGGGAGCAGCCCCTTCCTCCCCTCCCTTCCCAGCAGGATGTGAGGCCACGGAACCCAGTTTGTCCCAGCCACCGGCAGCACGGTGCTTCCCAGCAGGCAGGGTCAGAGCATGGAGGAACCGATGCTCTTCAGTCACCCGGCTCTCGGATGCTCAGCCACTGCAGGTGGGGTTTTGGTCCCTTGCACCACCACGTTGTAGAGAAAACAGGGAGCAAGGTCTCTTCCACCCCATTCAAACGGCTCCTGCTTTGGTTCACATGCTTGGCACAATCACCTCCTCTGAGAACAGTGGCTCCTCAGCTGCCATTTTCTCCCTTTTTCTGAATGAAGACCAGAAAATAAGCCAAGGTTGACAATTCCAGGTTCCCCTCTTTTGACACTGTGCAAGAACAAATACTTCAGTCACAGCGACGTCGTGTTTTATTCTTCCTGACTTGCAGGATGTAAAATGGTCCTGCTGAGACCTTCAAACCCACTGCTGCTGCTCGAGGCCAAGCCCGTGTCACCCCTCTGCAAATGGTGCAGTGGTCTTGGGACCCCCATGCCTCTTGAAAGGCTCATCCTCAAAATACTGATGGAGGGATAGTATCAGTGCCCCGATGCACAGGTCACGGGGAGGTGGCAGTGCCAACGACTCGCACCAGTGCCAGCACATCCCAAACTTGGCACGGGACAGGAGAGGGCTCCTACAAACACCAACAGCAGCCAAATGCTGCTGGAAACACCCTGAGTGATGCCCATTCACTGCTCAGCCCTGCCCTGGCAGCCAAGTGTCCCGGTTGCTGCCTGCATCAGGCTCAGTGCCAGTGGCTTGGCAGCAGCTTGGCAGAGGCAGCCACCTTTACCCCAGCAGTGCCAAGGCCACCACTAACCCATGTCATTAAGGGTCTTGTCTACACGGACATGTACCAGGATGGCTCAGGGGAAAGTCTTGGATTCACCATCAGCACAAGCTCTGTGTGCTCCTTGGTCCTGGGCTTGATTACCAGGAATGGGAATACGGCTGCACCAACCAGGCTCCATGGCTCTTCTGGGACTCGAATCACCCACAGCCCTTGGAATGGGTTTATAGTGGAGGATGGGCACCCTGAACATCCCAATGGTGACCTGTGCTGCATTTCCGAGGTTTCTTGTGCCGTCACTCCAAAATAAACCTGTGGCTCCTGCACCTTTATTTAATCCATTGCCTTGAGTCTGCAAACCCAGCAGGTTTGTGGCCACTGAGCCTGGAAAAGCCCTGGAAAAGACCAGGGGGCATGGAGAGGATGGAGGTGACAGGGGGAGGGGAAGGGGCATCCCTAGGGCCTTCCCTGGGTCCAGGAGTTACACCAGCATGTTTTTCCCTCTTGGAAGGCATGACCCATCTTATGATGGGGAGTGGAGGGGATTAAATCAGAGCTGAGGCATAAAGAAAAAGGCAGAAAGCTCAGAGGGTCAGAGGAGGCCAGTGATGTGTCTGCCTCATTCCAAGGAGGCTCTGGAGATCAGGCAATTAGCAAACCAAGCATGAGAATAATCCAGCTGAAACAGGGAGAGGAGGAGAGAGCTGGGGCTAAGCAGGAATAAAATCAATCACCAGACCAAATGGAGAATTATCTAGCAGGGAGTTATTCCTAATCCCATCATCATCTTTTGGGGGAACAAATTCCCCCGGCTCTGCTGCTCTTGGTGCACCCAGAGCACATTCTTTTGGGTCAGTTCATTGTCCTGCAAAGCCGCCCTGGGCCAGGAGGAGCACAGGGGAGAACCGAGCAGCTGGGTTGGTGCTGGGACACCCATGGTGGCAGGAGGACACCCAGCAGGCTCCGGATGGTGGGGTCCCCTGCTCACACCTGGAGAATTCCCTGATGCTGCGGCTCCCTGGGGCTTCATCAGCTGAATGACTGCACCCACCGGCCATGGAAGAGCTGTGGTGGCCGTGCTCCTGACAGACACCTTTGTGTGCCTCTTGGGGATGCTCAAACAGAAGCAGATTTTCCTGACAACTCACAGAAACAGGGAGAGAAAGCCTGAAAGGAGAGATGTGTGTGAGGAGACAGGCTGGGTCACTGCAGGAAGGGTCCGAGAATGGTCAGGGGACTGGAGCACCTCCCATATGAAGATCAGCTGAGAAAGTTGGGGCTGTTCAGCCTGGAGAAGAGAAGGCTGCGTGGAGACCTCAGAGCAGCTTCCAGTGTCTGAAGGGGGCCTATAGGGATGCTGGGGAGGGACTCTTCATTAGGAACTGTAGTGACAGGACAAGGGGTAATGGGTTAAAACTTAAACAGGGGAAGTTTAGATTGGATATAAGGAGGAAATTCTTTCCTGTTAGGGTGCTGAGGCACTGGAATGGGTTGCCCAAGGAGGTTGTGAATCCTTCATCCCTGGCAGTGTTCAAAGCTAGGTTGGACGAGGCCTTGGGTAATATGGTTTAGAGCAAGGTGTCCCTGCCCGTGGCAGGGGGGTTGGAATGGGATGATCTTAAGGTCCTTTCCAACCCTAACTATTCTATGATTCTATGATTCTATGATTCTATGATTCTATGATTCTATGATTCTATGATTCTATGATTCTATGACTGCTGGAGAAACATGAAAACCTTCTCTAGAAGGGAGTTATTTTGGTGACTGGCAGCTGCTGCATCTCACGCATCAACCCCTGCTCAACAGCCCCAGGTCTCGGGGCCAGCCGAGATGATGCTGGAGCAGGAAGTCTGTGTGAGCTCTCAGCAGAGGGAGGATTTACCCTTTCTACCCAGGAAAAGCCATGACTGACGTCTGCATGGAGCCGTCTTCCCACCCCATCCTGAGTCTTCGACAGCCGCGACCACTTCCCTTCCATGTGGAAATTCCCAGCCCTCACAAATACTGTGAAAACCCAGAAACGAGGATTCCCTAATGAGCTCAGATGCCAAGGAGACAACTCAAAAGAAGCCACCGCTTATTTTTAGAGACAACCTTATGATTCTTGAGCACATGGCCCAGGCAATACTGCGCAGGCAGCCACAGATTGGCCGCAATCTGCTTTTCTTCTTGATAGACATCATGTCTGAATCTCTATCTCCACAAGATGCTCCCAGGAGAGAAGACATTTAGATACGACCACAACGTTCAACATTTCTAAAAGGTCACTGCATGTACTAGGGAGCGAGGTGCAGAAGCCACTGATCAGCAACAGGGGCTTTGGGGAGGTATTTAATATTCCACGAGCATCTTTATTTCTCTACCAAAGTGAATAACTCCTCTAAAACCAGGGAAGGGGGAGCAGGACAAGTGTGTGCTCTACTCTTACTTTGACCCAAGCAGTTGGACTGAACCACCAGGCAGATCTGAATCTTGACTGCTACCGGGAAGTCTTGGCTGAGAGCAGCCCTGACCTGGATCTCAGCAACTTTGGCATCTGCTGGACCACACGGGAGCTAAGGCTGAGCTTAACTCCCTGTCATCAGCTGCACCCAAAACCACTCTGTTGCCAGTGAGTGTTCCACTAGTGCCCGTTGGAAACACTTGAGCTGAACTTGGCTCTAGGCAGTGGCACTGGTCCCCACATGGGTACTGGGAGTTGTTTTGTTGAGGTTTCCCAGCAAATGGGAAGGTTCACAGTGAGAATATTCAATGTGCAGAAGCCCATTAACATCATGGGCAGGGCGATGAGGGTCTGGAAGGGAAATGCAAGCTTGACAGCCCACATCCTCAGGACTTCCCCCTGATGTTTTGCCATCACTGGCTGTCACCAGGACCAGCTGCTGGCCACAGCCCCCTTGGTATCCTTGTCCGTTAGCACCCACCCAGCTAAGAGAACACCCAACAACGAGCTCAGAGGCAGCCTGGATCTAGGACACTACCCCTGTAAAACCACCTTCCTCCTTTCCCACCAAAGGGCAGGAGACAGCCCAGGGGCTCTGGGCTTTGCAAAGCTCCCCTTCTGAACCAAATCTGAACCAAAGCTCCCCTTCTGAACCAAATCTGAACCAAAGCTCCCCTTCTGAACCAAATCTGAACCAAAGCTCCCCTTCTGAACCAAATCTGAACCAAAGCTCCCATCTGAACCAAATCTGAACCAAAGCTTCCCATGTGAACCAACCCATGGCGCAAGGTTTGCCTGTACTCAGGTTTCTGCACTAGGCGCAGGGATGCGGAACCTGAGCCCCTGGGAAGTGTCCTCCTGGCATCTGCCTGTTTTCAAGCCCACACCACGACGTTGCTGAGGGATTTACAAAACAAGAGCCCATAACAGCCCCAGCCAGCGCAGACGTGACCGTCAGGCACGCACGTATCCTGGCTACGAGCAGAGCATCTTGGATAACAGGGCTGTGCTCCTGGCAAGGGCTCCTTCCCCTACGGAGGCACAAATAAAGATCATTAAATGAGAGAGGGGAATTTGCTCCTTCTCCTGCAGCTGCTTCCCCCTCCTGCCTCCCGCGGCGCGCGGCCGATTTACGAGCTCATCGCTTAACCCAGCCTGGGAGCAAAACCTTGGCAGAGGAAAGCACTGAAGCCAACTGTGCCTGGGCTGGAGCCACGGGGAAGGGGACAGAGGGAGCTTGCTGGAGTCTGCCCAAGCAGGACAGCCCTAGGCAGAGCACTGGGGCTGCTGTGGGGGGGACACCCCACACTGTCCCCCCATGCTGGGAGCACCCATGTCCTACAGAAACCAAAGGTGCAAAGCCCTAGAAGGGCTCCTAAGCAGCATGAACGTGCCACCTCGGCGCGTGAAGGACTCTGTGCCCACGCTCCTCTAACACAAGCAGCTCTGTAATAAACGAAGTACGGGAGCAGGATGATTAATAACCCTAACAGAAAGGCATACACTGTAATTAGCCACCTTTCAGAAAGCTGAATGATAACACTGCTTGGGGCCATGATGAGTGCTTGGGCTGGCACATAGGCAGCAGCCCCCTGGTCCTGGCCTGGCTGAGCCCCCCCCATGCTGCTGGTGGAGCTCCCATGCTGCAGCACAAGGGCCAGATGCTTCCTACAGGCTCTGCCCCAAAATGACCTCATTTGTCCCCCTGGTCCAGCTCGCCAGCCCCCATACATTAGGTTGTTCTTTAAGCTCAGCATCTTGGTGATGCTGGCCTGAGCGCCTTGGGGGCTGGCACATAAATCACACCCTGATCGATGCCTGTGGCTGCCAGCGCTGGACCTTGGATGGCAAAGTCTACTCTTAATCCCTTCCCTCGGGTCTGCTCCGAGGGCAGCACAGGAGAGGCAGCCATGGTGGAAAACCACCCGGTTCCAACACCACTGCTTGGCTCTCCAGAGGGAAAACAAGCTCGTAGCTCTGTGAGCAAACCTCTGCACATGCAGAAGGGTGCGAGGTGCAGATGTGGGGGCTCTGAGCTGATGGAAGCCCTGCTCGGAGCAGGAGCCCCACAAGGGGAGCCACAGCCTTCACTCCTCCTTTCGGCTCTGCTCAGCATCAGTCCTGGGCTGGATGTGTTTTTTAAGAGCTGCCTACAGCTGCTGCATTGGAAATCTTATTGTCAGCCCCATGATGATCATGGGAGCAGCGAGCAAAGAAAGCAAAAAGCCATTACAGGGTGGAATAACGTCTGACACTGCAAACCTATACCTTGTCCTGCAGGTGGGAGTGAGACCAACCCTTGCGGGCAGGGGTACAGGGGCTCATCCAAGCCCTGTGCAGAACAGATCCCTCTCAGCCTCACTGCTCAGATTTGGACAGGGCCAGCCAAGCCTCGGGGGGGGGGTGTTCAGCAGCAAACCTCCCCCCCCCATCTCCTCCAGGCTGGACATTGCAGCAAACAGTGACATTTGGAGTGAGACAGACTGGCGTCAGTGCCCACATCTACAGCTTCGGGGCATCAGCTGTGGCTGTGGAACCAGGAGAGCATCTCCTTTCCCATATGCAGCCCCAAAGAGGCTCCCAAAAGTCGAAAGTCTCTTGTGGGAGGGTAAAGGGACAGCAGGATTGGATCTAACTCCCTGACTGACATCCTGACAGCAGAGCAAGGGCAAAGTTTCCAGAGCCCCTCTCCCAGCATGGAGCTGGACTCCCATGTCCAGACCCTGAACCACTGCTCTTCAAGTGGATGCTGCGCATGCATCCCAGTGCATCTAAGGCTGGGTCCCCACTTCTATCTGCCAGCAACCTCGGAGCGAGTACCAGAGCTTAACACCCCCGAGCCTTGCATTATGTCCCCACTTCAGTTACTTCTTGCTCTTTTTGGGGTCATGGCAACAGGGAGATTTCTCAGCTGTTACATGGGATAAACCTCTGGCTTGATGGTACCACGCTACAAAAGGAAGGTGGGCACAGGGAGGGAGCTAATGGCACCAAGCAGGGATGGCCATGAGTTAAAAACGAGCTGAGTTTCAAGCATCCAAGTGTACAAACCCCACGGGGTCCAGCGGCAGTGATGATGCTGACCCTGCCTCACCCCACTCAAGCCCAGGGAAGCACTCACCGTTCTGCAGGTCCAGGGCTGCACCGACATCTGGGTCTGCTGTGGCATCCAAGACCAGGAATGTTTAAGTAGCAAAGCATCCAGCACAGCCAGCCTCAGCTCCTCTGGACAAAACAGCACAAGGAGACAACTGTAAATCACCTCTCCACAGTGTCCAGCACAGCAATTCCAAACAAACACCCCCAAAGCCCAAGGGCACGGACACAGGCACCTCCCAGAGAGGAGAAGCATCCTCAGTGTTGCTCCAGCCTGACGTGCGACCAGACCACTGCAGCTTGCCTGGTTATATATATAAAGTATACAACAAGAGATTGGGACCCCAGGAGCCCCTCAACAAGAACCCAAGTGTCCAGGGTCTGGCCAGCCAGTGCTGCACTGCCTGGCATCTGGGAGAGTGTAGCAGGGAGCAGTAAGCCAGAGACTTCTGCTCATCAGTGTAATTGCCATCAGCCTTCCAGCCGGCCGGGCTTGCGCTTGACCTTTAGCTATTGGAATATGAACAACAAAAATGACACATTCTTGTGGAGGGGGTGTCACAGGCTGCTCATCTGAAATCATCACTGAAATCCTCTCTTAGTGACATGCCCTCAAACAGCATCTTTCTGCACAAGTAAAAGAAAAAGGAGAAAAGACCCGTTTCTCCAGAGTCTTCGGAAAGTGGGAAGTCACTGAGCTGGACCCCAGCATCAATAAGTCCCAGCCCAGCATCAAGTGATCCCCACTCTGGTGACTCTGCTCATGTCCTGGTGTGAACCACAACTCACAGGCCAGCAACAGCCAGGACCCAGGGAGAACCCTACGGGAAATCCATGGGAAAATAACCTGGCAGCTGTGACAGGAGCGTGTCCGGTGATGGATGAGACTCATCCATCAGATCACGACCCCATTTGCCATTGCAACAGCAAGCAACCCCAATTTCCAGAGGTTGCCAGATGTTGGTGCAGGGCTGAGCAAGGCAGGGGAAAGGCTGCGGTGATGAACCCCAGCAGGACATTCCTTAAGCTGGAAATCCCTTTGGCACAAGGCTGGTGCTTGATGCAAAAAAGTGACCCTGAAGGCAAGAAGGGAAACTGCCCCTTGAAGTGATGATGGGACCACCTTCAAGTGGTCCAGCCTCCAAACTAACTCCTGGAGCAACACGCTGCTGGGGCATCGGGCATGGAGGGATGTCACATCTGCACCTCCTTGGGAGCAGAAGAAAGGCTCCAGCTCCATGTCAGCCCTGAGCATAAGGACTAATGAAGGCAGGAGCATGCCCCTCTCATTTGTCACACCTAGTTAATACTCCTGCTTATGGAAAAAGGTCACAATTTAGATCTCATTTATGTCACTTCCATCTTCTGTTTGCAACTGCCGGGCCCTGCTCCTTTTCCATCCCCAATTAGCTTTCAATTATGGGGGCCCTGCTCCACCCCACCTTGTTGCTGTGATACAAAGGAGAAGAGATGGAGGTCCTGACCATACGGTCCCCATCTGTGTTTCCAGAGAGGAGACGCCCTGAAAAAGCTGACCCAAGAGCAGCCTTTTTCCTCTGGCAGCATGAAGAGAACCAGATGGACTTTCCTTCAGATGGGATTTAAATGGAAAAACACAAAATAGCTCATTCTGCCAATATTGAAGAGTTGGTGCCCAGCTGTCCCGCACACGGGGAAGGTCAGACCGGGTGACCCTCTGGAAAAGAGGCCAGAAGCATCAACCACCCTCATGGTTTTGTTCCTCTGGCTGCACCACTGAGCCAGGGTATGGCTCTGGGCACAGAACTCAGTGCTCCCCGCAAAGGGAAACAAAACAACCAGCCTAATTTGAGGTATTAGAGTACCCATGAACCAGAGTCACTGTGGAGACTTGGCTGATGGATTTCGGATGGGATGGTCAAGCAGAGCTGCTTGGCACTGCGGCTCTGCAAACCCCTGGTGGTCACTGACCTGCAAGAAGCACTGTAGCAACCACGCTCATGAGGCCTTTTGAAGATGGAAGACACCTTCCCAAGCCCACCTGGGTCCTACTCAGTCCAGCCATGGTCCATCCCCACTGGCAGCAAGCTGATGCTCTGCTGACGTTGGTTATTTTACAGCTGATCCGGCTGCCCAACAGCTCCACATTGCAGCCAAAGCTCCTGGTGTCGTAGGGCCAGGTGAGTTGGTCCCACACCATGCAGCCCATCAACCCCTCTAAGTCTGCAAATGAACCTTCCCATCTGCCCAGACAAAACCAGCACCCAAATTGACCAGGAAAAGCAAGTGAGGCCTCAGGGAGACTTTTCTGGAGATGCCAAAGATGGGAGATGATTTGGAGGTCAGGCGCATCCCCCTGCCCTGCTGCAGGCCCACCGTATCTCTGCTTCTTCCCTCCCTCATCTGCCTGCATTTGCTGCAGAAACAGCCACGATGTCCCCACGCTCTGAAGACAGCGGGAGCTTTGCCACCTCCATGGTGATGGGTTCCACAGCCCCAGGCAGAGGCAGGACCCCAGGCTCACCCCAGGTCCCACACGACCTCCTCAAGTCTGTTGGCTCAAACGTGCCCATGGCAGTGAGAAGGGCAATATTTGTTTCAAACGTTTCTTCTCTTCCTTTCCTATTAAATATTTTCCATCCTCCTTTCTCAGATCATCCTTCATTTCCTTCTGCCTCCCTCTAGCAACAGTATCTGGGAGAAATAATGAATTTTTAATAAGAGGGGGCGGTGGAAAGAGGGAGACCCTAAGGCAAAGTGATAAAACATTGATCTATTAAATAACCCTCATCATCACTAAACCACATTTCAGGGAGGCAGAATCACACAAGGGACCTCATAGCATCGGGCAGGGACTGATGGGTGTGAGCATCAGCTCACGCTCGGGGTCGCAGCCCCCCCACCCCTTTTTCTCCTAACCCAGTGGCAGGATGGATGCTGTGCACGAACAGTTGCAGACAGCATGAATCCTTCTCGGAGGGACTCTCCCCGCCAGGCCACATGTGCTTGGTGGGTTGGTGTTTGCAATACCCCAGGAGGCCATTGCACCGGTGATGGGAACCCTCCAGCTCTCCTCCCCTGCAGCACCATGACTGGAAACTCTGCAGCATCTCAGAGCTGAGCCTGTCCCAGCTCCTGGTCCCTGCATCCCCCCCCATATCCTCCCCAGGCTCTGCGGGGACAGGGCTCACTTCCCATGGTGCCTGGCCCTGCTGCCCCAGCACATGGCTGAACCTAAATATAGTCCCTGGTTCTCTTTCCTTGTAGACACAACCGGTGCTCTGGGTGAAAGTCCTTTCCCATGAACTCACTGTTGCTTAATAAAGCACAAACCCTCGGAGACCCTGATGCTGGATTCTGTCATTTTAATTTTCAGTGACACTTGTTCCTCTCCACTACAGTACGTGGCTGCTGCTATTTTGGCTGGCACACTGGGAGCTGAACAAGGAGCCCCAGTGCTCCAGGCCCAAGCTGGGATGCAGCTTTAAAAAACAAGCCCCTATGATGGATGGGGCTGCAAACTGCAGTGGAGCTCATGGTGGCATGAAAAATTCAGGGGGAGGAAAGCAGGAAAGCAAGGAAAGCGCTGGGCTGAGAGCGATTATGCAGGAAGGAAAAGGGCATGTGCTGGGGCTGTGGCCAGCTTCGCTGCTTGGGACAAGTACCATTTCCCTGCTCTGCCACCAGCCATGGACTCACATCCTGCCCAGCTTTAGCCCCAACAGACCCCAGGCATCCCCAGGCCAGCACAGGGATCCACCTACAGCCCGAAAGCATCATGACTTAAAGCAAAGGGATCAAAAGGAGGACAAACCAGCACATGCCATTGCCAGTGGCAGCCCAGTGCACACTGCCAGTGCTGAGCGATGCTGTGCTCCAGCCCCTCTTTGTCCCACATCCCTGCTCTTGCATCCCCCAGGCCAACCCTCACGGAAGCACTTGCTTTGTTTTTCAAGGTAAACCCTACATAAACTTCAAAACCAGCTTGTCAACCGATAATGCCCACAGCACAACCAATTCCCTACTGCGGCTCTCTGCATCCTTTCCAAACACTCTTGCGGGTTTCATTGCTTTCCTTCATCTCCTCTCAAATCTGCTCTGAACATTTCTGCCTGTTCATTCTTGTGTTCTTCCAGGACACACAAAATGGCCCTTTGGGCTCCAGCAGGACCTCCATCGGCAGCACCTTCTGCTCTCATGCTGCAGCCCCTACCTGGGGACTGGAGAGATGCTGCAGGATGCTCCCTGGACCCTTCTCAGGCAATTCAGTTGTTTTACAGCTCAGACACAGACCAACAGCACGAGTTTGGCTGACTGAGAGAGTGCACAACCTATAAAGCCAAGCCTGCAGACTACATCCACTTACAGGCAGGGAAACTGAGGCTCGGGATGAATGTTGGGGCTCTTTACAGCCACCTGGTGACTAGGGATGGCTGGGGACAAGCTCAGATACGGCCTCGCTTGGCCCTGGGGTCCCTTAGCTCTGAGATGTGGGATTTGGCACTTGGGGAGATGCTACTGCAACGCATCCCACCCAGGCTGCCCACACAAAATGCTCCCATCTTCACATTCCTGATGTTATTTCCAGGGCTGCAGCAACAGCTTGTGCCTGTCCCAGGGATGTGAAGGCAGCAGCGATGTGGCTCATATCTGCTGGAGCAGCCCAGCTCCTCTGCCACTGACTGCTCCTCCTGCCTTATGGCAGCTTCGGGTCCCACTGAAGGGCCCCACGCTCCCTGGTGGGATGCTCGGGGGTGAGACAAGCAGCGAGATAACAACCAGGAGTTGAAAGAAATCGATTCCAACAGCATCAATTTAGAGCCTTTAAACACCGAGTGCTCTTGTCCGTCTGTACCATCAGGCCTCAAATTCAACGTTTAATTCGGGCCCGTGCTGCTGCTTGGAGGGAAAGTGCAGTGATGAGGTTTGGGCCTTGGAGCGAGGGATGCGCTATCTTGTGATGCAGGATTAACACAGCTAATGAAAACAGACATTCCTGAGCTCAGAACGCTAGGAAAAAACATAGGAATAAAGCCCCCGGCCCTGCTATCTTCAGCAAGGGCTCAGCACAAGCGCATCCCCTGGGAAGGGCTGAGGCTGGCAGCAGTGGGAGGAGGTGCAGGATATGGCCATGCCTGGGAGATGCCCCAGCTCTGCTGCTGTGGTGGGTCCCTTGCTCAGCCGCTTTGATGCAAAGGGGCAGCTCGGAAGGGCAGCCCAAGATGGGTGAAGCACAACCCAGTCCCGGTTTCTCTGCTCCTCCAGCTCCCTCCTCCCTACAGGGCAGGATAAAAGCAAAATCTGCTGACTTTTAAGCTCAAAAGCCACAACTCTTTCCTGAAGCTGCTTCCCTGAGCCATTGGGAACACGGTCCCGGCTCTCGGGGTGCTGTTTTGCAGACTGGGCATTGCTCAGTCGACTCAAACGAGAGCATCTTCCCCTCAATCTTAGCTCAGCTGAGGACCAAGGGCTTTGGGAAAGGTTGCAGATGCCCAAGCGGGTTTTTACAGCCTCTGAGAAATGGGATTTTCTGCGAACCATGAGAAATGCTGGGGGGATCAGAAGCCACGTTTCCCAGCTCCTCTGGCCATAATTCACCTGGCACTGCCAGTCCTCCAGCAGCAAGAGGCAGCAACTCCGCTCCCTCCCCTCCGCTGTAATGAGTGCCACAGAAACGCTGATGATACAGACATTAGCTCAAATTAAACCAGATCAATCACGGGCTGTCAAACTGGCAGCTCCCCAACACATCTTGATTTATTCTCCCGTTCAGAGGACATGCACCATGCTTCTTGCCATGCCCGGGGGTGCGGGGACCTTAGCCCATCTCCACCCTGCAGCAGAAGGGATGACAAAGCAGTGGCAAAGGGCAGAGCTTTGGGGTGCAAAGCCCCAAGGTTCCCCCCTCCCCTTTACCAGGGGGTACCGTGGGGTTCACAGCCTGTGTTTCTGTGTTTTTAAGGCCAGTAACAGAACCTGGCCCCAGCTTTAAAGACACACATGGATACATCGCATTGAGCAGCTGCTGGCCTTGCTGGGAGCTGCTGGGCAGCTCTGCTTTTCCAAGATGCTTTAATTCCTTGCGATTTGATTGAGAGAGATTGTTTGTAGGAACTTTCTGTCTCTGGATGTGGCTTTTCTCCTGGTGCCTTCCCAGCAATGGGGCTGGACCTGGGTAAACCAGCTTGGCCCGAGCAGCCTGCTCCAGGCAGGACAGCCTCCAGCCCTTAGGCACTGCATCCCCAGGATGAGAGCGGGCAGCACCACCCTGGCATCCGAGACCAAGCATCAAGTGGGAGCTCTTTGAAAGGCCCAGGCCGGTCCTCCCCAGGCTCCTGAGTGTCCCCAACCCCACTGTGTCCCCCGAGTTGAGCCTCTCTGGACACTCTTTACTCCGAAGGGATGGGCTGGTGCCCTGGGTGCTGCCAGGCTGCGGATCCACACACCAATCCGCTCTCCACCTATTCTGCAGGCGCTCTGCCTGCTTCTGTTACCCTCTACCCTCCTGTCTGCTCATTCCTCCTTCCCCAAAATCCCATCTCAGGGTAAGGCTGGGCACGGATTTAAAGAGCAGCTGCTCTTCTGCAGTCGCTCCCTTGCGCGAACGCTGCGGGAATTAGAGCACCTTTTGGCAGGTTTTAGCTCAATCCGCTTTGCAAGTGGATTAAGAAACTGGCACAAAAAGTACTCTGGATCTGGAGTAGGAAGAGGCAGGCTGCTCTTCCAGAACAGCGGCGATAGGAGCCGCGTCTGCTGTGAATGCTGCCTGCTCCATTTCCCTGAGAAACACAACCCCGGTAACATTTGCATTTAAACCAGCCCTGGGATTTTTGACAGGAGAATCCACGTAGCCCTAAAATCAAGGATGCTGAGAGGAGGGGGAAGGCAGGGCCCTGGGGTGACAAGGAGCAAGAACCTGCAGGACTGGGGGAAAACATGAGCAACACGACATGGGGGGAGACCCTTCCTGACGCCTGGTGATGCTCAGACCTCAGATGCTCACTCGGGTCTGCAGGGAAAGGCTGCGAGCCGCGGCCCCAGCCCTGACTGCGGGTACCAGACCCCTGGGGCGCCGGGGCCGAGCGGCACAGGATGGAGCGGGGCAGGTCCGCGCTGCACCCCCGGGCAGATCTCCGCCTGCTTGAGGCCATTTAAAGCCCCGGTGCCAACCCAGCACGGGGGACCAGAGCCCTGCCCGCCACCGCCGCCCTCGCCGAGCCCCCCCGGCCGGAGCTGAGCCCCTGGTCCCGGGCACCACCGGCGGCTGCGGGGAGCGGAGGGGCCTTGCAGCCCCGGGCTGCGGGCAGCGGCCCCGCACAGCCGGTTTCAGAGGGTGGCCCCATGGGGCGCAGGGCTCCCCGCACCCACGTGTGCGCCCCGCCGGGCTCTGAGCCCCCCAGCTCCCGCGGCCCGGCTGGGTCCGGTCCAGCCCGGTCCAACACGACCCGGCTCGGAGCCATCCTCCCCCTGCCCGGGACCCCGCACTCACCGCTCGGCTCCCGCTCCAGGGCTGCCCATGGCGCGGCGGCGGCGCGGGCAGAGCCGCAGCCCCGGGGGCGGCGCGGCGGCAGCTCCGGACGGACCCCGGCCCGGCTCCGGCCCGGCCCCGGGGGCGGTGCCTTTCCCCGCCGAGAGGAGCGGGCGTGGAGCCGCCCCCCGCCCCGGACGCGGCGGGACCGGGGCTGATGCGCGGCCCCTGCTGCGGGCGGCGAACGGGAGCGCCCGCGGCCACACGCGCGGATGGGAGCGGGGGTCCCGGCCCCGCTGTGGCCGAAGGCGGAAGGGTCCCCCCGGACACCCCCAGCCCCGGCTGCCCGCCAGTGGCCCCGACCCCGCGCCAGCATAAACCGGGTCCACCCTCCCCGAGCCTGCCTGGGCTCCCGCAGCCCCACACCAGCCCCTGGCACCCTCCCCGCTTGCCCTGGGCGCCCACCTCACTGCCCTTGGGAGAGGGGGCACCCCATAAAGGTGGTTATGGGCCAGCAAGGCCAGTTCCTCCCATCAGCAGAGAATCTGGGACAAGCAGCCCCCACGCAGCCCCCAACACTGCTTTCGTGCCCCCCACAGCAGGCTCAGTTGTCCCTCACAGTAGTGCCAAGCTCACCTGCAGCCACGGTAGGACCGGGAAGTTGCCAAGCTCACGGGGTAGCAACACAGTGAGCCCTACCAGCACCCATATCCCATGCACAGACTGTGCTCACCATCAGCCATTCCTTCTCTCTTCTTGCCCCTCTCTGCTCCCGCTGAAGCCTCCCACAGATACAGATGATGTGGTTCATTAGGTTTTGAGGCTGAGAGAGCCCAGCTCCCCTGTTAGCGCCGAAATCCTTCCAGGGCAGAAATGTTGCTCTTCTCCATTCATCACTGCTTGGTCCAGGCTGGCGTTAGCCTTGTGGGTCACAGGGCTCAGGGGACACGGGCTGCCCTTGATCTGTTGTGTGACAGCCGACGAGCATCACCTGAGTGATTCAGTTACTGCATCCGACAGTGGTTTTCAAGCAGGGGTTGGCAGCACATCCTCCATTTTACAGATGGGGAAACTGAGGGGAGGAATCAGGGGTAAGAAGCAGGGTGCAGCACTGAATCCCAGGCTGATTTAGTGCCATGGGCTCCCCTATTCGATGTTCTTGCCCGAACTGACTCCATTTGTGCAGGATGTTGTCAGGAAAAATGCCAACAGCTCTCCCACCTTGGGTGTCTTTTCGGTTCCACTTGCAACTTCCATCCCTTGCTGCAGCCCAGCGCTTCTGCTGATGGTGATTTCTGGCTGCCTCCTACTGCTCATTTGCTCTGGGATGTGGATTTATAATTTCATTGCAGGCACAAGCATCTCAGGCTTTCCCATTCGAGTTTCCTCCCAGCCTCATCTTTGGATCTGCCGTTAGAGCCAGGAGATGTTCATGGCTGTGAAGGAATTTCGTGGCTGTTTTAACCAGTAATGATTTAACTGCTTAATAAAAAGATGAAAACCCAAATCCGAGCATGAGAAATGCAACTGGTTTATTGGAGATGTGTTTTTAAAGAGGCTGCCGTGGAGGGAAGGCATGCCGGAGCAACCCCCATTTCCTTTCAATTCCCCGGGATGGAAAGGTGGTTCTGGCTAATTGGAACCTAGTTATTAAGCTGCTGTTTCAAACCCAGAGTCAATTAAGCAGCGTGGCCCTCGCTCAGCAGATCTGTCTTGTTATTAATCAAGGGGCAGGGGGAATTGCTTCCTTCACTGTGGCTCATGCTCCTGTCACCGGGAGCTAAGTGCTGATCTGATTTGGTCTGATGGAAGATGCTCTCCTGCCTGCTGGCCACGGTTAGACTTGATTGTGGGGGGGTAGAGTGCTAACAATGCAGCAGGAGAGCCCAGGTTGGATGGGGCCCCCTCATCCTTGTCCCCTCCTGAGCCTCTCACCTGAAAACCATGTTATTTATGTCTCTCCGTGCCCCCTTCATGCCACTATTGTACTTTGGGGGAAACCAAGGCACAGAGCAGTGATTTGCCCAGGTTGAGGCAGGTTGTGACTGAAGCCCACGATGTGGGTTTTAGCTCAGCCCTGCTCTTCCCCTCTGGGTGCACTTGGTTGTCACCTCCTCCCATTAGTTTTGATGCCTTTTTAGCATCACTTTGGGCTTTAATGAAAGAACAGGACAAAGATGGTGAGAAAAGGCACAAGGCTGAGGTTAATGCTCTGCTTCCCTGAGCTGGACGTCAGAGGAGCCCATGAGGCTGTCTGGGGCATCCAGAACCAGAACTAGATCTGGTTCTCCAGTTAATTCAAATCGGATTTAATCAAAAAGGACCTTATGCCAGGAGACAGGGGACAGATTGGGCCAGGGGCCCCCTGTCCTCTGCACACCCAGAACCTGCTGCCTGCTGAGGGCGATGGCATCTGGGGTGCTGAGGGGAGCACAAATGTCATCTCCTCCTGTCGTGGTGTCCCTGTCCCCACAGCTTGGAGGGGAAGAGCACAGAAGAGGCAGGGCCTTGGGGCTGGGTCTATCCCATGCAATGCTCCGGGGACAGCCTATGCCTTTGGAGGTGCTGTTTGGCACGAGCTGGAAGCATCTTGACAAGTTTTAGTGCTTTCTGGGGCGTTTTCACACAGACTCAGCAAAATGATTAAAAACTAAAAAAAAAAAAAATAAGCGAGAGAGAAATAAAAAAATCACAGCTGCTCTGGCACACGCTCAAAATCCCAGTTTTGGGCTGAAATGTGCCAAGGGAGAAAACTATCTATCCAATAAACAGGGAGGTAAATCCCCTTTTGCCCCCAGTTTCCCTCCCATTGAGAACTGTGGGAGCTCCCCTGCTGAGCCCAGGGGCCAGGGTCTCTCCCTGCCTGCCCAGGGCCCTGGCAGCCCCAGTGCTGCCGGACACGCTGGTCCCCTGCCAGCTCCGATGCAGCACTCCTGCACTGCCAGCTCTGGTGACAGCCAGTGGTTTCCACCCCCCTTCCTAAGGATGCAGCAGTGGGAGCCATGTGATGAATACAGGCTCTCGGTGGCCATTGATTTTGGCTAATGGAAACCTCGATTAACTCCTAGAAGGAGCCAGTGGATGGCTCATGAGCCACATGGTGGATGCAGAAGGAGCCAGTGTTTGACCCTGTGGAAATCGGGTAGCCGGGAGCTCCCTGAGCATCCTTTCACACTGGACTGATGTTGTGAGTGCTCAGGGATGCCAGGGTCCTTGCTTGGAGAGTACCATCCCCAGGGCAGGGCTGGAGGGCAGCTTAGACCCCCCTCACTCCCAAATGCCCCTGCACCAGAGCCAGGCAAAGCGGAGGGACTGGGGACAGCATGGTCCCTGGGATTCACCCCCCCAGGGTGGAACTGGGCCCTTGCCTGGGACATGCCATGGTGATTCTTCCCTGGGTACCTGATGGATCCCGAGGCACATAGAGGGGATTAGTCCTTTCCCCCTTTCCCCCCACGATATGCTGGTTGGAGGCTTTGCAGAGACCCAAATCTGAGTGGAGAGTGACTGCATGACCTATGGTAGCGATGCCTCAGGGACATCACCCCACATTGCCCTCTCCTTAGGCTGGAAAGGCAGGAGAAACCCTGCTCCATCGCAGCTTCCCAGCCTGGAGCAACCCTCTCCCCATGTTGGGACCCCACACTCCCATGGACCTGCTCTGGCCAGGTCCCCTCTCAGCAACCCAAGCCGTAGCCTCCCCATGTCCCTTGGGGATGGCTTCAGCACACAGATGGAGGGCCGTGACCCATTGCCCCTGCTGCTGGGCTTTGGGGAGCACAGGACAGGGTCACTGCCGCAGCACAAGCAGCGTGAGACCTGCTCCGCATGGAGCCAGTGATGTTCCCCCTACAAAGCCCATTTCCTCCTGCTCACTCTGCCCTGACCCCGATGTTCCTGTGTCTGCACCTTTGATGTGCTTCAGAGCATGAACCCCTGAGGGAAGACATCTCACCTTGTATTAACCTACAAAGCACTGGACCCACGTACCTGCCCTGCAAGCACAGCCTGAGCTGATGACTAATCCTAGTTACTTTTAATAACTATTTGGTAACTACAATGAAAGTTCCTTTGGCCACATACCTGCTGTTCTGAGCTGTCCCCCGCAGAAACACCATCGAGCAAAAGCTTTTCATCAGAGCACGAAGGAGAGGGACCTTTTTCCCTGTCTGACTGCCAGGACTCCGAGTGACAGCAGAGAGGAGGTGGGAGCTGGACCTGGGCTCCTCATCCCCCCCTTGTTCCCAGCTGCCTTTAGCAAGCCCTAAGAGCCCTTCTGCCATGTGTGGGTCAAAGTGTCCCTTCTGGCACTGAAGTCGGCCCAAGGTGAACAAACTCCCATAGAAGGAGAACTCCCTCTAATTCCTTTTTGAAGGTTGGGGGCTCGGTTTTGCAGAGCCACTGAATACCAGCACCAATTGGCTTCAAGAGGAGCTTTGCGTGCTCAACAGCCCTCAAAACCAGCACACACATTTCCCTACCTGAGGAAGGATGAGGCAAATTATCTCTGTTTTCCCCACACGATGCTCATGGAGGAGCTCAGCCCACCCTGGGTCCCCTTTGCAAGGCCCCCACCTCTGCTCTGCTGTGCACAGCACCCATGTCCCAACTCCTGCCTGTGTTCTCAGAGCTGATCCCTGCCTGGCACAGGGTGCTCTGGGCTCACCTTTGGGTGCTGCTCACCCCCAGCACTTGGCTCGTGGCTCCACTGCAGCCGGCAGCAGGGTGCGGAGCTGCCTCACTGATGATCTGATGGTGATTTATTCCCCTCCCACTGCCCAGCTCACTGTCTCATCCCGGCACTGCCAGGTTTCTGTTTGCCCTCCTAATCCAGGGAGGTGCTCCAGGTACCAGGATGCGTTAACAGAGGAATTGCTCCCAGCAGATGCGCCCTGCTTCCTCCTTCCCACTGAGATCCTCAGCTCCAGAGTGGGGTTTGCTGCTGCTGCTGCCCAGCCTGGCAGGACTGCAGAGCCATCAGTGGTCCCAAGGGTCCCCAGCCACTGGCAGGGCAGGGAGCAGCCTGGTGTGGTGAGACTGGTGCAGTGACACTGTGGGGTTGGGGGGTACCTGGCATGGGGGTCCCATTCATCCCTAATGAACAACCTTGTGCTGGGATCCCTGCTTGACCCCAAAGCAGTGGAGAGCAGGAAATGTCAGGCTCTAAATCTAGCTCTGAGGGCAGGTGCCCAAAGCAGCAGCGCATCCATGGGCTGCCTGTAGCTCAGGGTGTTTGGGGAGGTGGTGGCTGGGCTGTGGGGAGGGGGCTGGCAGTGAGCTGGGCACAGACACTGCAAATGCTTCCCCCAACCACCCGGCTCCGCCAACAAACCCAAACCACACGTTTCTATAGCACCTGGGCCCTCAGGGGTGCCCCAAGGGCTGGGCACACACGGGAGTCAGCAGCGCAGTCACTGCACCAGAGTGAACATCCCTTCCCAAAGGCTCTGTAACGCAGGGAGCTGTGTGTGCTGGCCGCTTGGAGGTGGCCGATGCCATCCGTGCTCAAGGAGCAGCTGCCCATGCAGTGACTTCCTTCCCTTTCCTTGTCCTGGTTCACCTCCTCTCCCCTTTGTGCGGCAGCTGGAAGGCTCCGAGGTCTCCCCTCCATCCCTGGGCAAGTGCAGGGGTTCACGCCAGCGCCGTGCCCAGCAGCATCCCAGTGCTCCCCGCTGCCGGAGAGCTGGGGGCGGCTGCTCGCTGCCTCCTCCCCTCTCCCTGCGAGGAAATCGCTCCCGGTGAAATTCAGCCCACGTTTCCCTTCACTCGGCTGCATCGTGCGAAACGTGCTCCCCACCCCCGGCCCCTCACCCTCCCTCCGTGCGTGCCTCCTGCCTGCCTCCTGTATCTCAGCCTGGCATCGAGTCCCTGCCGGCATCTCCGAGCTCATTTCCAAACATCATTAGGGCTGCTTTGCAGGCGAGCAGGAGTCCAGGCACTGCGGATGGCAAACATGGCATTTGCACTTGCTAGATGGAAGCATCCCTGGTGCCTTCTCTGTCCCGTGCCCCTGACGTGCGTCTTCATCCCTAATGCCAATAAACCAGGTTCTTCTCTCCTTAATTCATCACCTCAAGCCCTGGCTGCTCCTGCTTACAGCTCTGGGAGCTGCTGGTTCCCATTTGGAAATGGAAGAGCAGCAATCTTGTCCCCAGCCAATCCAAACAGAATTGCATGAGTGGAGCACATAGCACGGTGGCAATAACCCCCCAAAAGTCATAGAATCACAGAATCAGCTGGGTTAGAAAAGACCTTTCAGATCATCAAGTCTTTTCATCAGGGACTGTAGTGATAATAGGTTCAAACTTAAACAGGGAAAGTTCAGGTTAGATACAAGGAAGAAGTTCTTTACTGTGAGGGTGCTGATACGCTGGCACAGGGTGCCCAGACAAGAGGTGAATTCTCCATCTCTGGAAGTGGATGGAGTCAGGCTAGACAGAGCCTCGGGCAGCATGGTCTAGTGTGAGGTGTCCCTGCCTACGCCAGGGTTGGACCTGGATGATCTTAAGGTCCTTTCCAACCCAAACCATTCTGTGAGTCTATGATTCTATAACCATTCCCAGCAGTGCCAAGGCCACCACTGCCCCATGGCACTGGGGCCTCGTCTCCACGCTGTGTGAACACTTGCAGGGCCGGTGCCTGCAGCCCTGCCCTGGGCAGCCTGTTCCAATGCCTGAGCACCCTCTGGGGCAGGAATTGTTC